TTAACTACATAATTTTTGAACGATATCTTGTTCGAAATATGTTCAGTAGTACACTGCATTTCGGATAATTTGTGAATGTGTTGTGGTGTACATATTTTTGGCACGTCGCGGCAGCATAGTGTTATGATTTTCTGCATTATGTTTTTTGTTAATAATAGGTAACATGTTAATATGATAAAAACATAATCTTTCGATCAGTTTCATTGAGCTCCGGAGCTTGCATGTCTTTAACTAATCGTAGTCGTTTGCTAATTTATGTTATTCATTGTCATTTTGTTTAGTTTCTTCAGTTACCAGTTCCAACATAGGACTGGGACTTCTTTTAAACAAAGTATTACTGTACGTATTTCTGTGTCTTTTTTATTTCACTTGGCTAGAGGTGAATCAGCAAGTGACTCAATCTTGGGGGAAGAAGAGTAGTTTCTTAAGTTTTATATATGTTTAGGAAACCACTGTATAGTATCTATCATTATCTTTAGTGTATTCATTGTTGTTGTTTTTTTTTTTGTATTTTACTCTAAAAAGAAATGAATAAATTGACTGATATATTACACATATTTTTATTAAATGTAGGACATTTTGGATTATCGTTTTATGAACGTTTATCTTTCTCTATTGTAAAGAAATAACTGCAATATATCATATGAGTTTTTGAAAATACCCGATAACACATGAAAAAATTAAGTCGCCTCAGAGCACAAAAACGTCATGCTAAAGGCATTTAGCGATTTTCTGGATCAGCTTTGATTTGATTTTTCCCTAGTTTTTGTTTGATTATTGCTGTTTAGATTTATTTAGTGGTGAAAGGCAGTGTCTATTACCTTATAAGGAGGCATTTTCTTTTGTTTCGTTAACATTCTGTATGAAAGGTGATGCTGAAGTTGGATTGTCGTTACGTTTACGTTACGTGGAAAATATTACGTGCACATATGAGCGAGAACATGTTTTTATACATTTGTAATATCAATATGAATCTAGCTGTGCATTACACTCAAACGTTGAGCATGGTTTTTAACGTATAAGTTTAGACATTAACAGTCATGTCATCCCACCAAGACACATCATTCTGATATCCGTGTCGATCAGTTTTTGCTGTAACTGATAAATGGTTTCTCAAATGTGTAAAGGAGTTTATGTTATGTATAAATACAATTCAGTCTTTCTATTCCATTTCGTTCGTTTATGTAGTACACCTATGAACTTAAAAATCATATAGACAAAACTCTAATGTTTGTTAGTGAACCATTTTATTATAATTGGAATGCTGTCTTTTTTTTTGGCTCTTTTTTCGAGTAAGACATTATTATAAAGTAACCAATTACACCCTAGTATATTTGATGAGTTTTTGTTTATAAGTGCAAACAGAAGTGATCTTATGCAAGTTTCAAAACACAAAAACAGATTGAATTAACAATTATCTATAGGTTGTTGTTATTCTTCAGTGTTCTATTAATACATGTGTAATAGTAGAAAAGTATACAATATGTATAATGTACTACATCACCATGAAACACGGAAAATTTCTTTTGGATAGTATCAAAGGTTAAAGTTAGGTTAACTTATATGTCATTTGAGTCGGGGTTTTTTTGGTGCAAAGTTCTTATCATAATTTACCACATGTTTTATTTAGCCAATAGATACAAATACACCAATCAACCCTGAAATTGTTCACTAACGTTGATCGGGATACCACTTTTTTTATTGTTTCTCAGATTACTCAAGGACAGGCTCCCTCTTTCGCATTCTGTTTTATTCATTTTTAGATATGTTTTGTCGTAGAATGTCTGGAATGTGTACATTTTATCATTTTTTTGTGCGGTGCTTAGCTTTTGCGCCAAAATAATCTTTCATTTGCGCCACAAACCATATTTCATTTGCGTCATAAAATATTCATTTCATTTGCGTCAAAAAATAAACATTTCATTAGCGCCAATAATACATAAGTAGTAAATAAGTTTCTCAAAAACTCCAAAAAAAAAGATGCATTTCGTTCTCATTTTAGGAAATTTTCTAGATCAGACATACACAGTCCTTGGTTACCTATCGATAACCAATGTGAATGTTCATTATGCAGTCATAAAGACTCCGTTTTTGGTAAAATACAAATTTTTAAATTATAAATTCCCTGTTCGGACGAATACGAGACACGCTTATAACTAATTATATATCCTGAAATGACCAACGCTTTTAGAATAACATATGACGTATAAGGGTTGCACAGGATATTAACCAATCCGCTATTGTAGTCCAAACCAATACAACAGGATTCAGGTTTTGATTCATTACATTTATTCATCATGTTTGACCTCAATTTTATACTGTTATATTAAGGACTATATATGATCACTATACATTGCTTTTAGTTTAAATAACAAGTATTTTATTTCTTTCTTCCGTCAAATAGTTACAGAATTGAAACGTAATGGAATTTTAGTTGATCAAGATAACGCTTTGGGGAAAAGTGGAATGCATGGGTTTGTTTTTAAAACGAAAAAAACATTGCATTAATAAAAGGACACAGTTAAAAAAAAGTGCAGAATTGAAACACAATAATATGAGGATTAGAAAACGGTGTGTGAACTTAAGATTATAAAGATAAAATTATAACATTCTACTGATTACGTGCTTGACCTTATTCTGTTTTATTTATAATAAAACGATTTGTTTGAAAGCAACTGTCATACTCATACACACGTTAACGCATCCATATTCAAATGTTATATATATACATGTAGCTAATAATATCTTTAATGTGCATGAAGGGCTGTGTTATATTATTATGATGTTAGCGGTCAAAATGTATCTTCCAAAAATTAATAATGAATCTTCCAATAAAGGTCCATTTATATACATATAGTGACATCCGATTTGAGCTCGCCTGATTAAAGTACATCCAGAATAGCGGTTTAGCCACACAAATTTATAACTTATTACTTTGAATAACAGTATCAATGGTATTATGTTGAATCAAAAACTAATATGATTTACGTACTGCTTCTTGTAATTTTTAAGAACTTGATAACGATAAAACTAAAGATACTAATTTGGTTCTGACTGTATTTGGTTTTATTTATAATAAAACGATTTGTTTCAAATCAATTGTTATCATCAAACACACGTTTACGCATCTATATTCAAAGGTTAGATATATATCAAATAAAATATTCAATGTGCATTAAGGGGTGCGTTATATTAGTATGATGTTAGCGGTCAAAATGTATCTTACAAAAATTAATAATGAATCTTGATCATAATAAAGGTCCATTTTTTATATATATAGTGACATCAGGTTTGAGCGCGCCTGATTAAAGTAAATCCAGAAAAGCGGTTTAGCCACACAAATGTATTACTCTATTACTTTGATTAACAGTATCAATGGTATTGTGTTGAATCGAAAACTAATATGATTTACGTACTGCTTTCTTGTAATTTTTAAGAACTGGATAACGCAGAAACTGTTTCAGGACAGCTAAACTTATGGTTGTAATCGTTCACATATTACACAAAATCTCTTTGATTAAATTTAAATATATCTTCCCTCCCAGACACTTCCATGACTTTTAAGAAAATATGACCGTATATTTACAATATTTGATCAGTGGAACGTGTTATATTTCATGTTAGCAGTGGTGTTACGCCCCTTCATAAAAACAGATGAAGAAATTAATGATAAACATTAAGCAACTAGTCTAAATGCCATATAGTTAGTCAGATAAATTCGTTACACAATGTGCTAATGACCTAATACGATATGCACGGGGTCAGTAAATATATATGGGGTTTAAACATATACGTGGTCAGTAAATTTTATATGGAATTTACTAACCCCGTATATATCGTATCAGATCTCTAGTACACTGTGTAAGAAGCGGAATCCCATATGGAATTTACTGACCAAATATATATCGTTTTAGGTCACCATCACACATAACTTATCAGTATACATCCAATTCATGTCTTTAAATATTCCCCAACATTTGAAAGCTTCTGCCTAAACTATGATCCCGAAATCTGTTGTATAATGAAAATAATTTCAAACCACATTGTGTCTGTTTTAAAATTTTCCCCAATCATAGTATCAACATTCTATGTATATAGAGAAAATACATCAGATGAAAGTTTCTCAAATTATCTCTTTCCGCAAACTTTAAAAATTAAAGTTTTCCGAAAAGATAAATATCCATGGCCTGATATATATATTAAATAAGGAGATATGGTATGTTGGCCAATGAGACAACTATCCACGAGAGTCGAAATGAAGCGATAGTAAAAAAAATATAGACAAACAGAAAAGCCCATACCGTATATATGGCTAACAACATAGTTCATTTATTTAGTCAAAGTAAAATAAGGCACTAGGATTCAACCGATGTCTTTAAAGTATTATTTGATTTAAAAAGGTCATTAAAATGGTTATTTGATTAAAAAGGTCATTAACATTCTTATTTGATTAAAAAGGTTATTTAAATTAATCATTTTACTATTAACTAGTGTGACAGAGCAGGATTTAAACAGTAGGGTATGATATGGAAGAGAGGATAATACTTCACAATAAATGTGACAAATTATTTCATTTTCGGTAGCCTATAATTAATCTTTGAAGACCGAAACGCATGGTTAGCTTTGAATATATTGAAAAACTACTGAATCAAAATGATATATCATGACTGATTGAAACAGTAAAAAACAAGAGACTAAATAACTTTCATTTATATATATTTCCCCATTTCCATTCACAATTGTATACAATGGTACGACAAAAAGAAACTGATGCAATGGTTACAGTATTTATTTCAATGTACAATGAGATAGTTTGATAAGAGATCGGTTGTTATACTCACGCTATCCATATAATCCAAATCAGTGTATGTTATTAATAATACAATATATAATGTCAATAAAGTCACGTTTTACATTACAATTAAAGTCTAAATAAATACTGTCTTCTGGTTGTATCTTCCGAAAATTACTAATGAAATTGCACTTTAAACACTTAGTACCTTAGAGCTGGTCTTTGTTATGTAATCCATATCAAACCACACTGCATATTAAATGTTTAAATAAAATGTTTTCTTATATACCCCAAATTGCTAACCGTACTGTTAAATTTCTAAAAATAAACTTGGAAATTTGACAAGTTTAAAACCCCGATTAAATCTCCCAGGAAATTTATCAAGTTGTAGTTTCACTTTCTATTGAATTAAATTTCAGAAAATACACAATTGGGTCAACGGTGAATTTAATTTTCTGAATGAGGATTCCGTAAATGATATGATATAGCAGAAAATTTCAGACAATGTGTTAAATCAATACACAAATTGAATGTACTTTTATAAACAAAAACATTCCATAAAAAGCTATTTAAAACCAAAGGTAAGGACAGGTGTAACAGTATCGTAGCAGATCTTTTCAGAAAATGTGGTCACGCTACATAATTTATAAAGGATTGCATACTGGCTCAGAGCACACATTGAAAGATTTCGTATTTTAACACAATGGTAAAGGGTCATTTTACTAACGATCAACGATATTGTCTTGAGCAGAATGTTACTTTTACGAGTTCTTGTTTCTGACATGTCATACTGCAAGGAACAGTATTATTAGTTTAAACAACTTTTTTTGGAAAGTGCGCAAATTTCAATTTTACAATAGACAACGAGGGGTTCGGAAACACCCAAAACCTATCTGAATCCTTCTCCCTTATTTTCATATTTTAAAGTTAACAATATTGAAATTTGAATTATATTAACAATCTATCAGGAAATCTTGATATCGTTTATAAATGTATACGAAAGCAAAAGTGCATTTTTTTTTTAGATTTAAGTAAATGTAATTTGTAATGTGTTTAAAATAAAAATAGAAAAATATTGTATTGCCACATTTTCAATACTTTCCGTTAATTAGAATTTTTTAATGTATAGATATTTTGATATGTCAGATTTTGGCTCTTTATAGAAAATCACTGTTTTAAATTTAACATGATGTTTTAATTGTTAAATAGTTGCAGAACACTAATTCTGTATCGGGTCTTTACGCTATCATGGCTATGTTTAGTCTTCTTTAGCTTAACCTATATGATTGTAATGTTATAGTTCTGTTTTTTCTACATCATTTTGACACCTGGATCCGGTTGTTCATTTCTTGGTTAAATGACAACAGAGATTAGATACCATTACCCTTGGTTAACATATAACCGTAGGTTTTTTACTGTTGTTCATCCTGTGGTAAAATGTAACCCTCGTTAAATCCTTGATTATAAGATTAAGATTAAACCTTACTTCGGACCTCTGTTAAACTTCTAACAAAGGAAAAGTGTGGTCTTAAAGAACGATTCCCTGTTTAAAACTAGACTAGAAATGTCACTAAACTTTTGATGAAACATATTTTTCGTTTTCCTCAACCATTAGTAGTCCAACACTGATTAGGTATTACGTTTTACAGTCTTTCAACGTTATTCTGATCGATGTCTATTAACATTTTCAAATCTACATCTTATGGTACCATGTCATCTTTTATGCCTTTAAATAACACAAATGCTTCCTGTCAGGTCCGCGCTGCTATACTATTTAATGAAACTAAACACTGAAAAGCGAATTGGTTTAAATAAGAATTGTATTGACCAAACAATTTTTCGAGGACCGGAGAAAAGGGTGGATAATTCTTCTTTATTTTGTTAATAAAAATAGCATTCACTGAAAATTTAAACATTTGTAAAGTAACCAAGAGCTTAAAAGAAGTTGAACAACAGAATAATTAATAATTATGTCAAACTTATGACCATGTATGATATACTTTGAAAATAAATATAGACTGCAATTAATTGTGCTTTCATGGAAATGAGTTTTTAAAATGCCTTTGCTTTTTGACGAATATACAAAGAGAACTTAACGGTGTATCAGGAAATGTTGATATAGTAAATTAATAGGTACGTCCTATTTTGAAATACAGAGTAACGAAAGCAAAAGCACATATAGTTTTCTTCAAATTTGATAAAATGTGTGCCATAACTGGAATATATTTTTTGAAACATCAATTACAATAGATTTTGTTAGAAATATTTTCAATGCTATTCCTTAAATTGGGAAAGTTTGATGTAAGAATGTTTAGGTGTGTCAAGTTTTCGGCCCTTTGTGGCAATACAGTATTTTGAAATTAATTGGCAAATGCTTGAACAGTTGAACTGTTCCTAGGAAACTAATTCTTAAATGAGTGTTATATGTTAATTTAGTTTTTATTTGATAGTGCTTTCACTTCTGAAATAGGACACATATATTAACGTAAAAGTAGAAAAATTAGCTCTCAAATGTGAAATCAATTAAAATCCGTTTGCAATGTTTTGACAATTAACTGGATGTAGATTATCGGTAGTAATAAATAATACTTTTTTATCATCCTGCCTTATATATTTTGAGACTGCGGACATAATAGGATACTCAAAAGTCATTGTGCATAGGTCATACAACAATGTATACAATATTACTCTTTTTATGTACCTTTGACAATTTTGATTATTACTTATAAGGCAGATCATTCAACAGTAGCCACATTAAGTGTTTTGATCCTGCCAATGATACAAAGCAATGATCGTGTTACTGTTGTTAAATCTGACAATCAAAATGAATATAAAGAAGTTTTATTAGAATATTTCTCACGTTAAAATGATCTTATTCAAACGATATTTACAAAATAATATTTTGTCAAATACATTAAACTAAATATTCACTTTGAGTAGAATAAAACTTAAATATTTTGTACTTACATTTAAATGAGTTATATTAACCTGAATTCTTGCACAAGAATATCCTTCCTAGTTAACTGCGAATCAGGTAATAATGATTTTTACGTATATATTACGTATATTTTAATTCTGACTAACTATTTTGACATACTGAGAAACGAAAGTAAAAGTACATTTAGACAACTCAGAAAAATGATACCAAATAGAATAAAAATAGGTTTCTGTTTTTCTTAACTACATAATTTTTGAAAGATATCTTGTTCAAAATATGTTCAGTAGTACACCGCATTTCGCTTAATTTGTGAATGTGTTGTGGTGTACATATTTTTGGCCCTTCGCGGAAACATAGTGTTATGATTTTTTGCATTAAGTTTTTTGTTAATAGTAGGTAACATGTTAATATGATAAAAACATAATCTTTCAATCAGTTTTATTGAGGGTCGGACTACTAGTCGTCGTTTGTTAATTTATGATGATCATTGTCATTTTACTTAGTTTCTTCTGTTACCAGTTCTAACATCGGACTTGGACTTCTTATAAACTGAGTTTTACTGTACGTATTTCTGTGTCTTTTTTTCAATTCCACTTAGCTAGAGGTGACTAAGCAAGTGACGCAATCTTGGGGGAAGAAGAGTAGCGTCTTCAATTTTTTATTGTTAGCCAACCACCGTATAGTATCTCTCATAATATGTGGTGTAGTCATTGTGTTTGGTTTTTTTTTTTTTTTGTTTTTTTTTCCATTTTACTTTAAAAAAAATATTTATAAATTGAATGATGTATTACATATTTTTTTATTAAATGTAAGACATTTTGGATTATCATTTTATCAACGGTTATCTACCTCTATTGTAAAGAAAATACTTGATAACACATGAAAACATTTAAGTCGCCTCAGTGCACAGAAACGCAAACTAAAGGCGTTTAACGATTTTTTTGATAAGCTCTGATTTGATTGTTTTCCCATTTTTGTTTGATTATTGCTGTTCAGGTTAATTTAGTGTTGAAAGGCAGTGTCTATTTCCTTATAAGGAGGTATTTTCTATTGTTTTGTAGACATTCTGTTAAAAGGTGATGCTGAAGTTGGATTGTCGTTTACGTTCAGTGGCAAATATTGCGTGCATATAATATTAATATAAATCTTGCTGTGCACTTCACTGAAACGTTGAGGATGGTTTTTAATGTGCAAGTTCAGACATAAACAGTCTTCAAGAAGACATGTCACCCTACTAAGACACATTTCTCTGACTTCTGGGTCGATCAGTATTTGCTCTAACTGATAAATGGTTTCGGTTTTCTCAAATGTGTATAGGATTTTTGTGTCATGTATAAACACAATTCAGTCTTTCTGTTCCATTTCTTTCGTTTATGTAGTACACTTATGAACTGAACAAATCATATAGACAGACGTCTAATGTTTATTAATGGACCATTTTCTCATATTGGAACGCTGTCTCATTTGGGTCGTTTTTCAAGTTAGGCATAATTTTTAAAAAAAAAAACAATTAGAGCCTGGTATCTTTGATGAATTTTTGTTCATAAGTGCATACGATAGTGATTTTATGAAAGTTTGAAAACATAAAAACAGAATGAATAAACAATAATCTACAGGCTAGTGTTATTCTATAGTGTTCTACTTAAGTAGAAAAGTATACAATATGTAGAATGTACTACGTCATCATGAAACACGGATATGTTTCTTTCGATATTATTAAAAGTAAAAGTTATGTTAACTTATATGTCATTTGAGTCCAGTTTTGTGTGCGTGCAAAGTTCTTATCATCATTAACCACTTTTGTTTTAGCAAATACATATATATATACACCTTGAATGTTTTCACTAACGTTGATCAGGACATTATTTTATTTTTTTTAATTGTTTTTCGTGTGACTCGAGGAGAGGATCCCTCTATTGCATTCTAACTTATTTATTTATAAATATGTTTTATCGTAGAATGTCTGGAATGTGTGCACCTTATCTTATTTTGAACGGTGCTTTGATTTTGCGCCAAAATAATCTTTCATTTGCGCCACAAACCATATTTCATTTGCGACAAAATAATTAAAACATTTTATTTGCACCAATAATAGAGGTAAACTTATATGTTTATCATGATTTAAAACTACAAATTTAGCAGTCGCCGTGTTAAATTTATATTATTTTATTAACTAATTACTAGAATATTACTATAGAACAATACATTTGTACAGTTGTTAAATTTTTTTCTAGGTCGGTTAAAATTTTTTTGTCATTCACTTTTTCCTGACGCTTGTACTATACAAATTTTCGGGAAATACTAAATTTGTAAGCCTTTCTATTTATAGTGGATAATTCCGTAAAGGTAATAATAGAGCTTTAGATATAAGTCAAAATTCTAAGAATAAAATATTGTTATTACCGATTACAGTCTATCTTAATTATAGTAATGTTCACTCACAAAAGGGCAAATAAAATGATAGAACTAAACAAGGTTTAAAACAAAACAAGAAGATTGTCATTTTGCTGTTATTTAATTTTAAAGATGCATTTCTACCAATATGTGCGGAATATGACGAATAAAGGCATTTTAACAACAATCACATGAAATAAATAGGACAAACCGAATACATTTTAAAAACAAATTTAATCTTTGACATAACATTTGGAAAACAGTACAAAAATAAACGACTAGAATGTCCGAACAAATAGATTTTGCTTACTTCTCTTATTCATTCCATTATTTAAAAATCATGGTGACCTTTAATTTCTTGCATATTACAATTTTGTCCTATTTTCCAATAATTGAATACTATGTCTTGACACATATTTCAGGGTTTGCATTATATTTCATCTCGAAAAAATAGACTTTACACAGTTATGTACAGGACCACACAATGATTGTGCCCTATAGTTTTATTGTTTCTACACAGATTGTTTCTTTCGTTACGTGTTTTCGTTAAACTTCCGAACCTTTAAATGCATGGGATAACAGGTCAACTAGTATGTGGATATGGTGTAATAAGGAATACTGAAGTAATGAAACGCTACAGTATGAGGAAAATAAGAATATTCTTCATGACAAATAATTTGACTTGGATTAAACATGTAATGATATTATAAGACACTGTTGCAATGATGACAGTATTTATTTCAATTTACAATGAGATAATTTGTTATCTATATATGGTCACACTCACACAATCGGTCACGCTATCCATGTACTGATAGATCCGAATTACAATATATAGTAAATAACAACTACAAACTGAATTTATTCGTATATTATGCTAACATGGCTAAGATCAAAATCCCTAAATTATCATCTATTTGATTTGTTTAAATATGATTTTCGATTTCTACATTAAACACTTAATGACTGAAATTTGATTTCAGTTATGTATTACCAAGTCTCTATTATAATTTACACGAAACTCCAATTGCTATTATGAGATCAGGAAAACCCAAATCTATATATTGATGAGTTTTTCTCTGAAAAGATCAATAGAAAATAAGTTTTTCAAAAACTCAAAAAAAAGATGCGTTTCGAACTTCTTAATTTTTTAAGATCAGACATACACAGTCCTTGGTTACCAATCTATATGTGAATGTTCATTATTCAGTCATAAGGAAAACAAGTATCTCATTTATTTCTTCCATGATCTTGTTACAGAATTGAAAAGAAATGAAATTTAAGAAGAACAAAATAACGCGTCAGAGAATATTAAAATGCATGGATTTCTTTTTCGAACGAAAATGCCTTTGTATTTATAAAAGGACACAGTTAAAAAAAGTACAGATTCGAAACACAAAAATATGAGGATAAGAAAACGGTGTGTGACCTTTATCATGTGTTCAGATTAAAAAGATAATATTATAACAAGATACTAATTAGGTTCTGACTGTATTTGGTTTTATTTATAATAAAACGATTTGTTTCAAATCAATTGTTATCATCAAACACACGTTTACGCATCTATATTCAAATGTTAGATATATATAGCAAATAATATCTTCAATGTGCATTAAGGGGTGCGTTATATTATTATGATGTTAGCGGTCAAAATGTATCTTACAAAAATTAATAATGAATCTTGATCACAATAAAGGTCCATTTTTATATATATAGTGACATCAGGTTTGAGCGCGCCTGATTAAAGTAAATCCAGAAAAGCGGTTTAGCCACACAAATTTATTACTCTATTACTTTGATTGACAGTATCAATGGTATTGTGTTGAATCGAAAACTAATATGATTTACGTACTGCTTTCTTGTAATTTTTAAGAACTTAATAACGCTAAAACTGTTTCAGGACAGCTAATCTTATGGTCGTAATTGTTCACATATTACAAAAAATCTCTTTGATTGAATTCAAATATATCTTCCCTCCCAGACACTTCCATGACTTTTAATAAAATAACACCATATTTATTCAATATTTGATCAGTGGACGTGTTTTAAGTTATTTAGCAGTGGTGTTACGTCCCTTCATAAAAACAAGTTCTGATACGTTGTTCGCCCGGACAACAGATGAAGAAATTAATGATAAACATTAAGCAGCTAGTCTGAATGCAACATGTTAAGATAGTTAGTCAGATAAATTCGTTACACAGTGGTGTGCTAGTGACCTAATACGATATGTACGGGGTCAGTAAATTCATATGGTGTTCGAGCATATACGTGGTCAGTAAATTTTATATAGAATTAACTAACCCGGTATAAATCGTATGCGATCTCTAGTACACTGTGTGAGAAGCGGAACCCCATATGGAATTTACTGACCCCTTATATATCGCATTATGTCACTAGCACACATAACTAATCAGTATACATCCAATTGATGTCTTTAAATATTCCTCCAACATCTGAAAACTTCTGCCTAAATTATGATCCCGAAATCTGCTTTTTTATAAAAATGATTTCACACAAATGAGTCTGTTCTCTAATATTCACAATCATATTGTCAACATTCTATGAATATGGAGAAAATACATCAGATGTTTTAAACACCAAAGTTTTCCGAAAAGACAAATATCCATCCATGGCCTGATAAATGTTGAATGAGGAGATGTGGTTTGATTATCAATGAAGCAACTATCCACCCGAGTTGAAATGATTGGAGAGTAAAAAATTATAGACCATCGGAAAAGCCCATACCGTATAGTCGGCTATAAAAGGACCCGACATAGTTCATTTGTTCAGTAAAAGTAAAATAAAGCACTAGGATTCAATCAATGTGTTTATTAAATTATTTGATTAAAAAGGTCGTTAAAATTAATCATTTTCCTATTAATTAGTGTGACAGAGCATGATTAAAACAGTGACAAGTTATATCATTTTCGGTAGTCTATATTTAATTATATATATTATTTGAAGAACAAAGTGGATGGTCAGCTTTGTTCATTTACAATTAATATATTGAACAACTACTGAATCAAAATACAATGAATATATTGAAAAACTACTAAATCTAAATGAGATATCATGACCGATTCAAACAGTAAAAACAAGAGACAAAATAGTTATAATCTATATATAAAATGATACGACAAAAAACTGATGCAATTGTAAAAGTATTTATTTCAATATACAATGAGATAGTTTGATAAGATATCGATTGTCATACTCACGCTATCCATATAAATATAATCCAACTCAGTGTATGTAATTAAAAATTAAATATTTAATGTTAATTAAGTCACGTTTTACATTAAAGTCAAATTTAAAAAAAAACTGTCTTCTGATTTTATCTTCCGTACATGAAATTGCACTTTAAACACTAAGTACCTGAGAACTGGTCCTTGCTATGTAATCCATAACTAACCACTGCATATTAAATGTTTAAATAAAATATTGTCTTATATACTCCACATTGCTTACCATGCTGTCATATTTCTATAAATAGATACTGGAATTTAAAAACTTGAATTACTTTTCGTGGAAATTGTATAAAGCTTTACTAATCAAATTTACGGGAAGTTAATACGTCAACCATGTATACTTTGTATTCTATATTTATAGGAAAGAATTTCATTAAATTTAGTAATATAGCAGATGGTTTCTGAAAATGTATTGTAATTTCGTGAACAAATACACTGTATTCAAACAATTTAAAAAGCCACATAATAAAGGTAAGCACGAGTGTACAGTAATACCATAGTAGACATTAAAAATCAGTGTGTTTTAAAACAATATACTTCATAAACGCTTACAGACCACACATTTATTTTTTTATAAGGTAACGACTATCTGTTTAAAGTCCATGAGCAAAGCATTCATGCATATTCAGGTTTGAAACATATTTGAATTAAATCTACAGGTAGATTAAAAGGGAATTTTGAATGTCATTGGAAAATTCATGATAGATAACTGAACGTCAAATGCATAATCTGATGAGTGGTCTCTTTATTTCTGTATAGACAAAGACCAAACGACGTTAATGCAGGCACATATAGGTCACTGTACGACTTTCAACAATGTATAGTAAGCTATACAAGTCCTCAGTGTGACCAAAAAAAGAAGTGGATGATACCAATGGAACATTCAAATTACTTAAGTCAAGTGAAACTGACTATGCCATTACAACAAAAACGAAAGACGATGAAAAGACGACCAAATTCACACAACAATACAAGGAAAACTAAAGACTGTGCATCACGGACTCCCTCCTAAAAACAGCTTGATTTTGTGACAAACAAACAAATGTGACATACATCAACTAACAACAGCAATTATATCATAGGCCCTGATTTCGGATAGGCATTTGGCCTTTAAAATGAATGGATTCGAGCCTACCTGATGAGTTTTATGTAAATTGAATGCGCGTCTGGCGTCCGAAATTATAAGCATGGTATCTTTGACAGGATATGGCAGGATAATTAAATCATTAAGAAATAAGATTTGATTTCCGATGAGACAACTTTCACTTTTAGACCAAATGGCCTTATGTTAATAACTATATATCACCGTACGTCCTTCAGCATTAATGAATACCGTTTAATAAGCCATAGCAGGCCACGACATGACAAAATGTAAAACAAAACATACGACATTATCAACGACCAAATAAATGATAAACAATAAACGAAAAAAATATATGACTGACAATCTTCCATATCGGAGTACCCCTGAATGATAGGCTCTTGTTCTTGGACAGGCACACCAAGAATATGACGGC